TTTAACGCCCCCCGGCGTTAAACGCCCCTATCACGCCGGTGGGCGTGAGAGGTATTACCACTGCTCTTACCCTTGAACCGTTACCCTTTATAAATTATGACCCATTTTAATTTTTGTTTTTTAACTTTTTTTTAAATATCAGTTTGTCACTTCGTTTTGATAGGACAGATTGTTTTCGTTCAGCACAATCGGCAAGTCATAGAGACCCTATTTTTACAAGGAGCAAGGTTTGTTGAAATGACTCTCAGGTCTCTATATTTTTAAAAAGTAAGAGAAGTCTTTGAATTTTATTGTAAAGACTAAGAGAAGACTATTCATCTAATACTTCATCCATTGACGTTAATAAATGTGTTTCCTATTTTGCCCTTAATGTTTTATAGTAACTTTTTAGGTTCATCACTTTTTAGTTTCTTTGTTTCCTTTCTTGTTTCTATTTTTTCACTTTGTTTCTTTTTTCATAAAGGTCTTTTTAAAGTTTCTTTTAGAGAATAGTTTCAAGAATTCAAATTTTTGTATGATATAAAAAATAAATGAAATAAAGACTTTATTAAAAAAATTAGATCTCTTTTTTATTTTTAATTATACCTACAAAGTATTAAAAAAAGAATCTTGAGAACTTCTAAGGAAAATTTTTTGCTTTATTTTTCAATTTTTTTTACTTGGTCTTTTCTTTTTTTAGGAAACTTTTTTATTTCATTTATTTTTATATCGTACAAACAATTTTAATTTTTTGATACAATCTTCTAGAAGAAAATTTTAAAAACGTTTTAGAAAAAGAGTAACAAAAAAAAGAAAAACAAAGAAATCAAAAAGTGAGAGACTTAAGAATTATTTCCATAAAACATTTAGGGCAACGCAAGAAAAAATGCATTTACTAACGCCTATGAATGAAGTACTGGACGAAATGTCTCATCTCAGTCATTACAACAAAATATAAAGGCTTCTGTTGTCTTATTAAAAATATGGGGACCTGAGAGTTATTACAACAAAACTTGGATCACCCGTGAGTAACTTTCTGTTTTACAAGTGCACTATGAACACAATTATTTAAAAATTAAAATTGAAATATAGAAACTCATTCTGCTGCAATGTTGATCGAATATGAAAACAAATCTCACATGTGCCTTCGTTCAAGTACTCGCAGTTTCTTCTGGCAATTGAACTCCACAGATACATTTATAAGTAGAAGAAAAACACTTATTCACCCAACGCCACTGTTATCTTCTTTAAAATAAGCTCAACTCCAAGCCGAGGAGATAACCTGGGAAGAACTTCCTGTGACAGATTGATTTGAGGATATTTTAATTATCCGTATAAAGGGAATCAAGTAAGATGTGTTTCAGAAGCATCAAATGGTCAAGTGACCTGTAATATATATCCAGTTAAATAAAAAATGGAACATTAATCTTCCCTTGCTTCTTACATTCCATGATGTTTTGGGCACTAAATGCATCTAGGGTGCAACGGAATGAGCTGTTTTGTTTTTATGGGAATAAAACTACATACATATTGACCCCCATGCCCCAAAAAAGCTGGGATTATAGTCATTATACTGGACTATATTATGCATGCAATGTTTTTTGTAAATATAATATATATGAAGTCAAATCCCCAACAAAACTAACGCCATTTAGCTCTCCAACTATCACGAATTCACCACTTCGTACCACAACTTTAGATCAAACACTTTTGACCCGAATCAGGATCAACTGATTTTTCTGTCGCTTTTGGTCCTAAATTAGGATTAGCAATGCCACAAAATCAAATACTCAATGGCCAAAAGTGGTTGAGCTAAAGTCGATGGACAAATGTGGCTAAATGAAGACCAAGAGTGGTAATGATACAGATTTTTCTGCTCTCTTCCTCCCCCCTCTATTTTCTGCCCTTCTTTTTGTACAATCACCTGAGTTAGTATCAATGGAAGAACTACTCCATTTGTTAAATATTAACCATCCTAAGAAAACAATTTCACTGGCAAAACCCATAACTGATCAGTCTGTCATTAGTGGATAAACAAAGTCAGTTCTACTGCTACTATTACTATAGGAATATAGGGCAACAATGCAACATGACTAGGTTGTTATTTTATTTTAAACGGAGTAAATTATGATGTTACTACTACATAACTGGAATATGTTTTAAAAAACCCCTGAAATAGGTTTTTCGGGGTTGTATTAATCCATCGCACTAACTGCCTATTTGGATTAAAGTGAGCCTAAATGAACATAGGTAACTAGTTTCATTCTCTATTTGGGACTTCTGCAATTTTAGTATCAAATGTCAGCATATGTAAAAACATTCACCCAAACTCAATCCATTTTCCTTATCCCAAAATTAGGGGTAATCCCGTGTTGGGACGTATGAAACCAAACCAAACATACCCAGTATGTCCTACTCGGATAGTCGGATGTATGCAAACCAACCCCTACTAGTAGAGGAACTGTTTCCATGAAGGTATGAATATCCGAATAACCGGGGTAAATGTCTTTTGTTCTACTTTTATGCTTTAGTTGAAGAGTGCATTTGGTGTTGATTCTGCTTTTGGTGGATTATGATTCCCAAAATCAGCCAGAATCAGCTGCCTGGTTGATTCTAAAAATTAGATTCTGATTAGCAGAATCCTCAACTGATTCTTACTAGAATGTGAAACAGAATCAGCTGAAAAAATCTAAATTAATACACCCATCTTTCTTGTACAATCAGCTGATTCTGATACAAAAGCGAGACTGATGAACTGGGCAAGATGAGTTATATACATCCCTTAGATCTGCAGATTGCAAACACATCAAAACAGAACAATTTTTGGGCAATGGGAGAACCCATCATAATTCAATAAGCATACAGAAATGGAGATTCACAGAGAAAAAAAGGAAACTGAAATTACCTCGGTGCCATCAGGGCGGAGTTTGGCCAATACAGGAATCTCAAACTGGTAAGCCTTCTCCCACTGGGAGTTAGTCGTGATATCTCTCACCTCTAAATCAAAAGCGGATTCGGAGAGGGAGATAGCTGCATGGATCTTCTCTTTCAGGCCGTCACACAAACAGCAGCCTGGCTTTGAGTACATTATCAGCTTTCTCGGAGAAGAAGAAGACGAGGAGGAGAATGACGAAACCCTAGGAGACCATTTCCGGCGGCGATCGAAGGAGAGGAACGCGCTTCTAGAAGCAGATGAGGCTGCTGCTTGCCCTATTGCTCCCGCTCGTACGGCGGCCGATGCTATTGCAACCACCATATCTTTTCAATCTTGACGAGAAAAGCAGTCGGCAGTGTTGATGGATGATCATACATACTACGTACAATAATGCTAAAGACCCAAAGTATCTTCTCCCACTTCCTCAATTCATCACTATAGAAAGCACAACAAAGAACATCTAGCAATAAATTCTCCTTCCCATGGAGTAACATACTCTGGTGTCCCTAACCCCTCCGATAACCCCCACCCTGCCCCGACCCAAACACACCCCCCACCCCCCTTCAATTGCACCCCACAAGTTGATTTTGACTCCAAAGTCAAAATCAACTTGTGGGGTGCAATTGACAAGGGTAGGGGGTGTGTTCGGGTCGGAGCGGGGTGAGGGGGTTTACCAGGGGATTAGGGGGGTAAGAATCATCAATTTCACGAATGAGGTACCGGAGCACCCCCGAGTCATCCCATGACATTGGGTTCCAATGTCATGGGAACCCACCCATATTTTACTCCCTTAAAAAAGATAAAAAAAAATAGAGTAAATTCTATAATTGGTCCTTTATAACAGGGGGGTTTCCCTATTTAGTCCTCTATTATCAAATATTATCCATGTAGTCCTTCTTTTATGGATACCTTTCCACAAATAGTCCTTTTTTTGATCTTCTATCATGTTGGTGTTAATTTGAGGGCTAAAAATGTAATTTCACAATGATAATATATCTTTTTTGTCATACACAATTCCAAAGATTGTTTCGTTTGCGTCGTTTATGAATTACAGTCACTTTTTATGACAACGATAGTCTACAAATGTGATCTTTCGTCAGAATCCTAGCCAACAATCATAGTCATTATTTTTGTGTTATTCGCTTAACCAATATCAGAACACGTCACTAGACATAGTGTTGATGTCAAATTATACTTTTAGCCTTTAAATTAACACTAACACGGCAGAAGATGAAAAAAATGACCATTTGTGGAAAGGTACCCTTAAAAAAAGGACTACGGGGGTAATATTTGATAATAAAGGACTAAATATGGAAACCCCCATGTTATAAAGGACCAATTATGGAATTTACTCAAAAAAATACATGTAAACTTGTCTTAAGAATAAATTTGTCCAAATATCATTAATGGGTGGAACTCTAATAAAACTAGGTGGATTTAGCCAAATGTGGGGTGTATTTAGCACCACCCTTAAACAAAGTGATGTATTCATTCATATAGTAAAATTTGATCGGTAATAAAATTGTAACAATCTTTTCTCCATCCAGAGCTTGTCTTGATCACTCTTTTTAGATACTTGTTCACTAATGTCTCCATAGTTTGTGTGTAGAAGTCTCATTCTTAAAGGTATACTTCTCTTTGAATAGGCAAGATCGAATAGCTCCACAAGCGAATTGATTGAAGATACTCTAGTCTTTATCCTTTACCTCTTCTAATTTCTCTAGTTCAATAGCAATGTCAAGACCCTAGGAAAAAGAAAGAAGGTTTATCATACATCCAGATGTAACTAGAGGTAGATACATTCGGATAGTACTCATTCTGAAGTAGAGTAGTACTCATTTTCGCACAAATATAATTAGCGTGGTACTCATTCTAAAATAATGTAGTACTCATTTTCACACATTAGTTTAATATAATTATAATACTCATTTACAAATTATGTAGTAATCATTCTGAAACAAAACAATACTCGTTCTCAAATAAGTTAGTGTCCATTCTCATGTAAAATAAAATCTACACCATAAATAATTTCTCTCCTACGCCACCCGACCCGACTAGGGTTTTTCATTCAGCCCCTATCCGATTAGCAGCTTCGGAGATGTTGAGCACCTCTCCGATCAGCCGCTTCGGTCCCATTATTTTTTAGATTTGAGGTTTCCACATAAATATTGGTGTTTGTTTATCACTTGATTGATTATTTGTTGGTGTGTTTATTTTTCTCAATTGGTCATATGATTTTTGCCGACACAGAAGTAAAATTAATTAATTACTTCTACTTGAAAAATGAGATGATTTTTCCAATTTAATTTAGATGTAAAAATAAAAATCAAATTTGCATATAAAAAACTAATTCAAAAGATATTGGAGAATATTTTGTATTTATGGAGAATATTTTGTATTAATTGTAAATCCTTTACTTTAGGTAGGTGCCTTGTATAGTTATTTACCATACTTAGTATAGTAAACCCGATTGCATAAATACGGACCAAGGGTCATTTCATGAGGCAAGCAATTATTCACTAAATTCATATATGGTATCGCAGCAGGTTTTGGCCCACCTCGTTTGTCAAGGTGTCCGTCTAGAGGTTCATTCTTAGTGGCCCGTTAGTCTTTACCCCAGTTTTCCGTATGGAGTATAAACCCAACGGCCTGTGTCCTGTTTAACACGATTGCCCGTCTGGAAGTTCATACCTAGCATCTGTGGTCCTTTAGGTGTTGGTGCTCAAAAAAGAAATCAAGGGGAAGAGAGTATTTGTAAGTGGTCAACCAGTCAGAGACAAAATGGTCCGATTGTCCACTTAAGGGGCGTATTAGAGTGTCATCCCACATCGGAAGTCGAAGAGTAAAATAACCGGTATATAAGCTCTTGAGTTGAACTAACTAATTAATTGAATTCAATCTTTTAATGTGGTTGAAACTAAGTGTCTTATTATCTTATTTTTTTCCCGTCCCAAGTGCGCAATCACATATCCTTGCTTCCGATCGCAGATCCTTCGCGTTTGTAGTCTCGTCTCCGTCAAATTGTTTTCAATCAGTAGAAATAATTGTCTGCTGATCCAGTTAGTCCGCTGATCGAGTGTTTGTCCAGATCCGTTCGTCGGCTGTTCAGTCCTGGCGTTTTTCTCTGCCTTTCGTCTGTTCGCGCCGGTTGCCGCTCGTCGTCTGTCTGTACGCAGCAGAAGCTAGTCCCGGCGTTTGTCTCTGCCTTTTGTCAGTTCGTCCAAGCCGCACCAACATCCGCCCCATGACTGCAAAGAAAACCAATCCCATTCATGACCCGTCCACAATTTATTACCTCCATCCTTCCGAAGGGCCGGGTAATTCTTTAACCAAATATTGTCTTCGAAGTGATAATTATGATGTATGGGAGAAAGCTATTAAAAATGCTCTCGGAGGGCATGGTAAGGTCAAATTTCTTACATCCACGGGAGTACCCAAACCCGAGGATGAACTTAAACTTGCGGCTTGGGAGTCCAAGCATTCAATTATTTGTAGTTAGATTTGCAATCGATGAATCTATTCAACGAAGTATTATATCTCACAAACTTGCATTTGAACGGTGGGATGATCTCCAGAAATGTTATGGCGGTTCTAATGTTTCACGTACTTATCAATTAAAGTGTGAGTTAAACGGGTTGCAACAAAAGGGCCAACCAGTAGTGACTTATTATAATCAGTTCATCACTATTTGGAATCAATTGTATGGTTGTTATGATCCAACTGGTGGTTGTAAGTGTGATGAAGCTGCGGTTCTACGAGCATGTTCATAACGTGAGAAGACTGTGGATTTTTTGATGGGTCTTGACGAAGAGCAATTTGGCACTGTGCGTGGTCAAATCATCGAGAACGAACCTGTCCAAGATTTGGATACGGCCTTTTATTTGGTGTCTCAAGAAGAACGTCATCGTACGATTATTCGTACTCGTGACGACCGCACTGACACAGCGGCATTCGAAGCCCGACGCACCCCCCACTGGTCGTTTCTTGTGTTCACATACATTGTGGGCGTACGAATCACAATGTTGATACGTGCTCTGAGCTTATTGGTTTTCCAAATGGTTATGGACGTGGTCGAGGTTCCATTTCCAGGGGAGGTGGAGGAAGGGGCGGTGGTCGCAGGCTCCAGTCCGGTGGTGGTTGAGGGTTTGGCCGTGGGCCTGGCAGCGCTGGACTTGGACACAGCAGCAGTCCGGCGAACCCTTCTGCTGGAAGCAACATCAGCACGGCAAATGCAGTCAATAGTGAAGCCCCCGCTAATTTAAGTGATCAAGTGGCTGATATAACGGTATGTCTAGTCAATATAAATGTATGTCTCCTACTTCTTGTGAATGATTGATTGACAGCAGAGCATATCATCATATGATGGGAACCCAATCATATATGTTTGATATTACCACTATTCCTCCTTGTGGGATTAGTTTGCCTGATGGTTTCTGGGTTCAAGCTACTCGACAAAGAAGGGTGCAATTAGCCTCCAATTTTGTTTTGTCGGGAGTGATTTTTATACCTAATCTCAATTGTCATTTGATCTCTATTGGTTTATTGATTCGTGATAATTCTTGTCATGTAATTTTTAATGAACTTTGTTGAGTAATACAGGACTGTTCGTTGAAAATGGAGATTGGTTGGGGTGATTTGTGACACGGAGTCTATGTCTTTTACAGTTGGTCAGTTCAAGCTCTTGTCTCCACCACTGATCCAGTTCTTCTTCATCAATGTTTGGGTCATCCATCTCCTCATTTATCTAGTCATATTAGTTCTAATAAACGCACTTCTACTATTAAGAAGTTGCAAACCTGTGAAATTTGCTTTATGTCAAAACAAACTCGTACTCCATTCATTCCTAGTTCAAATAAAGCTAATTCTGGTTTTATTTAATTCATTGTGATATATATATATATTTATATATATATGGGGTCCATATTCTGCTTGTTTGGCTATGGGTGCACACTATTTTTTAACCATTGTTGATGATTTTTCACGGGCTATTTGGGTATATCTTATACGAGAAAAGAGTGAAGTCACTTCTTGTCTCAAACGATTCTTCTCTATGATAGCAACCCAATACTCAAAAACCATAAAAATTGTCCGTTCAGATAATGGTATAGAGTTTCTTAATTCTTCTTTACGTCAATACTATGACCAAATGGGTGTTTGTGTTCATACCTCTTGTATAGGTACACCTCAACAAAATGGTCGTGTCGAACAAAAACATCGGCACAATATAAATGTGGCAAGGGCTATAATGTTTCAAACGTCTCTCCCACTTAAATTCTGGGGCAAATGTGTCAAAACTGCTGTTTATCTCATCAGTCGTACACCGACAAAACTCTTTGGTAAAAAATCTCCTCTTGAAATTCTTTCTTCAAAACCTTGTGAGTTGAGTCATCTCTGTTGGAACACGGGTTTACGCCTATGTCGTACTAAGCCGTGTTCGTTTTATGACTGGTTTTGATAATGCCAAACCGCCATGACAATAACAAGGTTAAAGTGAGAAAAACCAAGGCGAAGGAACATGGCATGATGAATTGAGAACCAAGAACCAAAAATCAAGAACGAAGACTTAGAAATTGTAATGAGTCGGTTTTAATGTGATCAAGACCGGCACAAACTTTCAAAACATGGCTCTCTAGGCTCATTTCATCAAAATACTTTTTGCATATTCAAAATGGTTTTCCTAAGTCTTAAACCTGCCTAAAAACACTTGGAGTTCGCCCAAACCAAAAACCAAGCCATCCGGCGTTCGGTCTTCAGAAACCGGCGTTCGGCCTTCGGTTATCGGCATTGGTTTTTTTGGTGTCCGAACCAACCAAGTGGTTTTTAACTTTTAATGATTGGTTTTTACTTCTAGGCATATTTAAATAGTTCTCCAACAAAAACGCCTCAAAAACCATCCTTCGTTCTTGGTCGTTTAGTGAAAACCATGCGAAACGGCGTAAACTTGGCTAGCCGTGGTTTTCAACTAAATGACGTGGTTTTCAAAATGTTTTACTTGATTTCTTAGCAAAATGCATTAAACAAACATTTTCAATACTTAGTTTTTATTTTGGAGAACTTACATTTTTGAGATCGACTAACGGCATGACTAAACCAACCATGGGTCTGGCTAAACCAGCCAAACAGCGATGTTGGTGTAACCAACAGCGCTGTCTAGCATGGGTAGCTGAAAACAATGGTTTGGCGCTAAGTCTTCCAACAGCGATGTTGGTTGTTAGACATCGCTGTTGAGCCAAGGTTGGGTTTTTAGAAACATCTGGAACAGCGATATAGCCTTCCCTACATCGATGTCCAACCTAAGCCAAAAACAATTACACTGGCAGAAAGTTTTTGGACAGCGCTGGTGTCCCAGTAACAGCGCTGTCTGGCCATTTCTTTCACTTTCAAGTCCGGCCTAAACAGCGATGTTCAAGAAATGAACATTGATGTAGGGACCTGACCGTTGGAAGGAATTTAAGGCTAAAACTTTCCTTGTTTGGAAGTCAACAGCCAAAACAGTGGTGTAGGGGTATTGGACATCGCTGTTGGCATGACCGTTGCTTCCCAATTTTCAAAACCCAAGCCTAGAACAGCGATGTCCAAGCCTAGGACAGCGCTGTCTGGGTGAATTTCAACAGATCCAAATTTAATCAAATCCCACAAATTGTGCCAATCACCCCTTAAATGTTTTGGTCCGTTGGAGCCTATTTTTTCCACTATAAAATGGGGTGTTTGGGTCTGTTTTACACATCACATTACTTCACAACTCCTACTTTTTTATTGAAAATCATTCATCCTTTATTCATAGCTTTTTAAAGCCATTTTTTGTGAAGCGTGTGCTGTGTTCTTGAGCGTTCTTAGTTACTCATTATCCACTCTAAAAGAGAGTATTGTTCGTGAGTGTTTTTAATGTTCTTAGACACTTGACAAGAGAAAATATTTCTCTTGTTGTTCGAAGGAAGGGTTGTTTCCTTCGAAGGTTCGTTGAGGTTCGTGTGACTCGAACTCTCAAGTTGTACGGGTTTGTTAAGCACCGTTAAGCTTAACGAGATAGTAGTGTAGCTCGAGAGAGTCTCTCGGGAGGCTGGACTAGCCACAAGTTGTGGTGAACCAGGGTAAAAACGGTGTGCCTCTTCCTTGCTCTTTTACTTTACGCTTTTAATTTTTACTCCTGCGTCGTTTTTTGTTTCAAACGCTATTCACCCCCCCTCTAGCGTTGGGACGTTTTTCTAACAATCTCCGAGTATTTGGGTGTTTATGTTTTGTTCGTCAAAATTTCCCAAACAAATTTGCACCTTGGAGTATCAAATGCATAATTGTTGGGTATCCCTATGGTACAAAAGGATGGCGTGGGTACGATTTGGAGACACATCGTTTTTTTCATACCAAAGATATCTCGTTTGATGAGTCCACCATCCCATTTGCCATTCCACCGTCTACTCCTTCACATCCTCGTCCCCCGTCACATGGGGACTTCCCGGCAGCAATATTCCCCGACCTTCCTGCCGAGGACCGTCCGTCCACCCAGCCCATAGTCGATCCGTCTACCTCGTCCAGCGCTCAGCCGTCCACCACTGTTCCTAGAGTAGCTGATATGGCCACCGAACCTGCTCCTCTTTGTCAGTCCACTCGCACCCGTCGTCCTCCATCTCAACTTGACGATTTCATTTGTCATTCTGCACAAGCCACTCCGTCGTCGCTTTCTCTCGTCTCGTCTTTAAATTCGAGTACGCGGTTTCCTATTACCGACTTTCTAGGTGCAGTCCAGACTAGGGGTGGGCACGGGTCAGGACGGTTCGGGTTTCTTACAATCCCGCGTCCTGTCCTGTTATATCGGAACGGCTCGAACCACAAGTCTATCCCACTTTATCCCATAATTTTTGAGACCGGGATAAAATGGAACGGTTTCGGATTGTCCTACTTTTTCCTAATTTTTGGACAATAATGAATTCAGTCCAAAGCATTAAAACTAGTTACCTGCGCTGCCACTGATGACTGATTGCCACTTGTTGGCTTTGATAAATTCGCACAAGATGAAAGATTTCTTTGGAGAATTTGACTTTTGTGTGAATCACAGAAGATGAGCAGCCGATGTGGACTAACAAGAATGAATTAAGCTACTATGCAGTATGCAGTACCTAAAATTAATTAAACATTAAAGAGAAAGATATGGTTGGGACTTGGGCTAGGTATATTTTTTGGGGCTTTGGCCTTTGGGCTTAATCTTTCAAAGCAAGACAATTACTACTTTACTAGATACCGAGTAATGTGTGTGTGTGTGTGTGTATATATATATATATATAGACACACACACAGATATATATATATATATATATATATATATATATATATATATATATATATATAGGTTCAGGTGAGAATGCGATCTTATGAAAGAAATAACAATGAATCTGGTGCTTTAGATTGTGAGATCTAAGGGTTAGGATTGCATCAAAAATAGGTGCACCAAAATGGTTTGAAAATGCATCATGTCGAAATGCACCATAATCCTTTGAAAATGCATAATCTTTAAATCTGAGTGCAGGATGCAATCTGAGCCGCACGATGCATCAAATCTAAAGGCTAGATTTTATTCTTATTTCTTTTCACCAAGGTGCATTCTCACTTGAACCAGCCCATATATATATATATATATATATATATATATATATATATATATATATATATATATATATATAATGTTTTTAGAAGAGTATATAAAACGGGACAAACGGGATGGAACGGTACACTTGTATGTTATCCCAGTAATGTCCCGCTTAAAATCGGGACAGAACGGGTTCGGGACAAAAAAAATTAAATCCAAAAAAAAGGTACCATTTCAAAACGGTTACGGTATGTTTCGGAACGGGTCAACGGGAACAGTTTCGTGCCCACCCCTAGTCCAGACTTGCACCGAACCCAAGACTTTTCGAGAGGCTGTTAAATCGGCTTCCTGGTGTGAGGCAATGGCTAAGGAACTATTAGCTTTGGAGAAAAATAATACATGGGAAATCACGGACCTTCCCCCGAATCGTCATGCCTTGGGATGCCAGTGGGTCTATCGTACTCAAAATAATTCTAACGGCTCCAAAGAACGGGATAAAGCAAGGTTAGTTGTTCTTGGTAATCATCAGGAATTCGGAACTGATTATACTAATACCTTTTCTCTCGTTGCAAAATTGGCTATGGTACGTATATTGTTGTTAGTTGTTGTGGCTAGGTCTTGGTAAGTTCATCAGCTGGATGTAAACAATGCATTTCTACATGGTGATCTCATTGAGGAAGTTTACATGAAACTACCCACGAGTTATACTAGTGCATATCCCGGGAAAGTATGCCATCTGCGAAAGTCTTTATATGGTCTCCGACAGTCTCCTAGAAATTGGTTTACCAAGCTTTGTCAGGCCCTGAGATCATATGGGTTTCGACAAACACATGCAGATCATACGTTATTTGTTTGGGTCCACGACCCGGATGTGTTGGTTGTTCTGATCTATGTTGATATTCTGGTTGCTGGTAATAATTCTTCAATTTGTTCCTCATTTAAAAAGTACTTGAATGATTGTTTTCAGTTAAAAGATCTAGGTCCAGTCTCTTATTTTCTTAGAATAGAATGTGCTAGATCTACGGAAGGTCTAGTCTTAAGTGAGAGGAAATATGCATTAGACATCATTCAGGAGGAAGGTTTGACCGGGTGTTAGTGAGCCGCTACATACTCCGATTCAGCCTGGACACGACTTGACTATGTCTCAAAGTGCATAGATACGAGATCCCACAATGTACCGAAGACTTGTTGGACGTCTATTGTATCTCACTATTACTCGTCTGGATATATGCTTCTCTGTTCATGTTTTATCTTAGTTTATACAGGCCGCATTGCGTGTGATCAGATATT